TTTCTGCAAGTGGAAGGTCACTGAAAAGTATATAATTTTTGTCCAGTATATACCTTACTGGAAGCTAATATTTGGTACACACATTGTTTATATGATAAAGTGTGTCATGACTTTGACCCAAGGCCATACTCACAGTTTCAAGGTCAATGGCAGAAAAAGTGTAAAATTTCATGACATGTCTTTAATTTTCTAATGGAGAAACATTGGATGTCCATATTTCACTCAAAGATCACTTAAGACCAGAGGATATGTGATTTTTTTAAACCAAGGTTATTTTAGCATGTTTAAAGTAAATTTACAAAATTGCAAATAGGCACTTTAAAAAAATTGCAGGAGAGGGTGGTAATTTTGTGAGCTCACTCACAGTACCTCTAGTGTTGACTTTTTCTTATGCATCTAGTTTATATTTTCTTTATTATATTCATCCTCAACAAAGTTTGGGGTGGGGGTATATATATGAATCATTTTGACTGTCATATTGTCTGATCTATAACTTTGTGTGGGAGGAAAAATTGAAGTTCAAAACTGACAGACACAAAGACTGTATATGGCCTTAATGTAAGTCAATGGGGTTATCATTTTGTGAGCTCACTCATAATATCTCTACTTTACCATTAAAATAAAAAAGATCACACTCAACATAAAATCAATTTTTAACATGACTCCCTAATTCATACTTTATATATAAAAACAGATCATAACAGAGTAACAAAAATAAATTTAAGTTATTTAACAAAAAGTAATTAACAAATATATCCATGAAACATCAACTTGGCTTTTGAGTACAAGTGTACACATGTCTTACAATTTCAGACATTACATATATATTTTGTTATCCTAAAAAAATATTCGGGGTTGAAATTTTATCATCAGCACATGTATCATAGTGAAGTGATTTGCAAACAATGTGAAAGTATAATTTGTGAGACATATGTTAAAAACTGTTAAAGTGTCTTAGTAACCAGTCTGTGACTCAAATGATTCAATTAACCATTTAAATCTGTACACTCAAATGATTGCTCCTCCTTATCATATCCAATCATCTTGTGATCAATACCAAGATGATCAATCAGTTCTGTGAGCTCAGGTCGAGGTTCTGGCATCAAATTCAGGAGGTCAACCAACCCCTCTTGACACACGCAGCGCCATTTCCTGATCAACTCTTCCATCTTCTCAAGGTCATGCTGCAGAGAACAGCAAATTGTCATTCTAGTTCATTATTCCAAGTAAACTCTTAATCTGTGTGCATGTTTGTATATAATATGTATATACATGTCACTTACCTTGTGTTGGTAAAATTGAACAAGCTTGAGTTTTCGTAGGACATCTTCTCTTTCTTTTATCATTGACTGAAGTTTACTTTTCTCTATAATTTTATTTTTTGAGTCCCTTTCATTACTTGTATCATCGGAGATGTTACCGTCACAGTTCTGATCCTTTGAGAAGTCTAATTTCTGTGGTTTAATGATGTTTAACACAGCACTATTATCCCCACTTTCAGAATCATGGCCACCAAGAATTCTCATGTTCTCATTGTCAGTAAAACTAGCACTCTTTGTAAAATGCACCTCTGACATCCTACATGAATTCACAGGATAACTTTGATCAACATGAGGACTGACAAGCATGTCTTTTTGTAATTCACAGCTTTCTTTTTCTTGAATTTCTCGGATTCCTGATTTATTAGATGACACCAGTGATGGTGGATTGAAGTGTGTTCGGCTGTGGGGGTTCTGTCCAGCCAAGGGAGAGGAGTGGTATCGTCCACATCGCTTTAATCGCTCCTTCAATCCAGAGCTCATCTGCAACAAGATGATGAGGATAGGTGAGGAATGTGATTTTGACAACTCAATTATGAAACAAGATGCCAGAAACATTATATGACCAACTTTGCTTCAACCTGAGGCCTGGCCCCAGGGCCATAAAACTTAGACAAGCTCACTTTTGATCTCAGTCTCACTTTTCCACTATATATTCCTTTTGTAAAAGTGAGACTGAGATCAAAAGTTAGCTCATCTAAGTTTTATGGCCCTGGCTCCTGATCCCCTGGACTCAATCATAATTTTAGTAAAGGGCTAGTTTTCATGATTATCATGCTGCAAGTCTACACCAAAAAATTTTCAAAGGTAAGATGAAATCTAAATATAGGAGTTCAGTTCCACTCAGAAAAAAATATACAGTAAAACATGCTAATAGTGAATACCACTTATAATGAGTTCACGCTTAGATCTAGGTGATTTTCATTCCCAGAGGTTTGACAATGTATTCTAAATATCTACAGATATAGCAAATTACATTTTAATTTTATAATGAAGCAAAATTGTTCCTTCCTGACACTTCTCTGTAAGCATGTTTTACTGTATAGTCAAACCTCGTTATCAAGAACTTAATGGGACCAAGATTAACTTGAGATAAATGAGGATTTTACATTTATAATGAAGTTTAAAAACATAAGAAAGGTGGTTGGGACTGACAACTCACTTCTACATCCCAATATCGGTGTTCAAAATAACAAAGTTCAACTGTTCTGGTACCAGATATTAAAACTAAACAATATTTAAATCAATGGAAAAAGTAATCAGGAAATAGTTATAGGAAATTTGTTAACATACAAATGAATGCACAGCTAAACAATGATTTATATACACAATCTGCAAACTCATACAGATCCTTACATGTATTAAAATGCTTTTTTTTTAATATGATTATTTTTTTTAACCTTTATGAATGTGTAATGATTAATATAGATCAAAATCTTTCATATACAAAGCAAGAAATAAGTCTTGTATAAATACCTGCAATGAGGGACATTGAGGTGTAGACTGCTGTTCTTCTGTCATAGTATCATCACCTAAAATTAAGCTCAGTTTTAGATTTTACTTTTCTTTTTCTGATTTCACTAATTAACCTGAATATTTCAATAATGATAAAATTAGAATTCAATGATCTTAAATTATCATACTTTACAGTGTTTACTGAATAATAAACCTCAATGGGGACCGACCCTCTGATAAGAGATAACTTTCCAAGTAAAAATCCTAATGATACTCATAGTTTTATCTTATCAGAGTTTAATAATTGAGACATCTGAGTAGTCAATTCAATCAAACCTGACATAATACAGAAACATTATCTTCTATTTCCTTTGCCTATACTTTTCAAATTGTTTTATTATATTTGATAAAAACATTTAAATCCAGTTTTAAAATCCTCACAAATTGAATAAGTTCTATCTTTTTATTGACCATTTTAAAAATGCTTTAATGTATAAAGTACCAAATGTAGAATTTTTATTACTTCTTTCCCCCATTGAAAAAAAATCAGCATCCGATTGTAGATTTTCAGCATGTAAAAAAAAAAAAAAGACGTCACAATCGCATTCGTTTACAAACAGCTCGGAGTTTCCCGAAAGTGACGGAGTTAGGGGGTTTGGCGATAATATTACTAAAACTAATGTTTAAGTTCTTTACTATATGTAGCAAACAAGAAACAAATCAAAAAATTAATTCAGAGAGTAAGGCAGGCTGTTTTCCGCTTATGGACAGAGGAATGCGGGTGGTTACATTCCCATTACTTGTTCGACCCGCGTGGTTTCGACAAGAATCCATGTTCGACCCGAATGGCTTCGGAACGAAGCAATTAATTAACAATTAATTGCTTCGGAACAAAATTAATTAACACTTTCACCAGTTTTACATTTTATTTTTTCGTCTACATTTTTTTTTATATTGACCACGTATATTTGTGTTAATTATCGTATGTAATTTAATTTGGAGAAACCTACATTAATGTTTAGATAGTGCATATGTGATCACGGTACATTTGAAGAAGTATTTGATTATTTTTTATGAAAAACTGTTCAAATATAATTCATTACTAAATCAAATTCATCAACATCCGCGATAGTAGAAAAAAAATGTTAGGAAACCTTCTCACTGCACGTTGACTACACATACGGAAACAACTACCTATTGACATGCACACCTCTGAAGCCATACAATATACAGTTTCCGAATATCCATTTGTTTACCGCACAGTGTATACCCCTGTACTCAGGTATTCACATGTAGGGATATATATTAGAGTAGGTCGAAACCACTTGGGTCGTAACCACGCGGGTCGAACACGGAACGTAACCACCCGACACCTGGACAGAGCAGAGTTTGGGTACTCGAGGATACTTGGTGCAATTATTCACATTTCAAGAGACTTTTATCATGAGGGTAGAATTTACCATATATATTTCTTTAACCAATAAAATATCAATGTATACAGAAATGATCTTTAAAGTACTCAAATCAGATTCCAGGGACAAAAAATGCTCAATCTACCACTAATGAAGTTTGACTTTGGCGCATAAATCGCTGTTTATTATAAACGTTTTTAAAATATTGCAAAAAATCTTGCTATCAAAACATTTCATTCACCCCTATTTAAATGCGTCTATTAACCCAAAGGGACCCTAATTGACAAAAACATGGTAAAATAATCATTTTTCTTTATTTCATTTCCAAGGGAATAAAATATTAATAGAAAGTTCATTTTAATATTTCCTAGGAAATTAATTTATTATTATTTTTTAATTTAAATGAAGTGACCGTTGAAAAAAAAAGTCCAGGTCAAAATTAAGATACAATTTATGAACATCTATACGTGCAAACAACATCTAAATTCTATATGATTATATGTAAAGAAAACTACTTTATTTTTAGAGGAAACACGAATATCCCGAAAAATCATTGTATAATATGAGTTTAAAAAGTGTTTCAATCTCGGCTCCCTTTGAGTCTTTTTGGGTAAATGGACACACTCCACATTTGGATAGCTTTTATCCGGAAATCTTTATGATGCTTTAAAAAAACTTTAATGAAATTTTGATTGCGCTGTTATTTAGTTTATAATCAAAAATAATATCCTCTTGATCAAGTTATTTTTTACAATTATTTTTTTTAGAAGACATTGTATCAGTGTATTGCAGATTCCTTCCAGATGATTTTGTTCGTTATATTTTAACAGTACCGGAAGTTGCAGATGATGCAGGATTAGTCTGTTAACTCTATTTCAACGTACCAATAAAATTACGTATGTAAATTTATTGAATTGTTAAAACGATTTAGTATTTAGAAAGCTAAGGCTTTACTGAGCATGTTCTTGATATTTTTCTTTGGATAAATGATCCAGGCCCATCATAATTTTCAAGATTGTTTGAACTTAATGTAAGAATCTTCCCCAGACCACAGGGACTTGCAGCCTTGCTTACGGATGTAAAGAAATATATATATATATATATATATATATATATATATATATATATATATATATATATATATATATATATATATATATATATCATATACCAACAACCAAAACAACACTTGTAGTGTATAATTTTTTTTGATAAATATTTTTATACTGTTGGAGCAAGCCCCTGTACATGCTGTAGAAGAAAATAATTTTGCAATGAGTGCTTAAAAGATTGTGCAATTGTAATGTTGCATGTTTTAATTTTTTTGCAGTTTGGCACAGGTACTTGGGTCTTGGTTTATAAATATCTATGTACCTTATTGATATGTGAAAAAAAAATAATAATAAAGGTATGCAGGCTCTGTAATGGTGTCTGCTCAATTGAACTCACTTGTAAGTTGTTTACATGGCTTGTTCTTTGAAAATAATGTTGCACCTACTGATCTTTATGCACCGGATGTCTCGTAACATTGATTACTCATTATCAAAACCCTTCACATCTTGCAAATAATTCCTAACACATGATTTTTTAACACTTTTAAACTTTTCTTTAATTTGCGCAGAACTACATGAACAAAGTGCAAATACTAAAACCCGATTCAAAATGACGAATTCCGGCCATTCAGACAGTTCTAAATTTTAGGGGCATTCTGGGAAAATTAAATATAACATGAATTATCTCAGAACTGTTTTTAATTTTTTCGGAAACTGTCAAACATTTTGGCAATTTTTTTTTCTGAGAAAAAAGAGGAACTTTTTAAGTACCCTGGTACCAAAGTCCATAGATATTTTGTGACAGCATCTTGTGCATTGAAAATGTACCACATAGGGGAAAAAAATTTCAGTAGACTTAATAGCTTTCACAAAAATTGAAAGATAACCAGGAAATAGTGATAATTTATTCACTGTGTGTGAAGTTTTAGTTCTTTTTTTAATTGATTTTTTTTTTCTTTTCTAATTTAGTATGAATCAAGAAGCAGGCACAGATCTGAAACGCACACATGGACATGCAGTATTGTTACGAAAAAGCTCATCAAGTAAAATGGCTCTTAAGGAAAAAGTTGTCCAAATATATGAATCTTTCTTCCAGGTTCATTTATATTTTAAATTCTTTCTTTACAGTACAATTCGTTTTTTATCATACCGGTTTTATATCATACTTCTTTTTTTATCATAGATATCTGAAACACAAAACCATTTCTTAATAATTCATTATAAATTTCGTCTGTTATTATCATAGGTAAAAGTATACACTTCGCTTACTATAATAGAAAATTTCCGTCCGTAATATTTTTTCACACCTTTTCACTCTTGGGACAATCAACAAAACAAAAAATGACACCTATCTACACCTGTGGTTCATGCACTGTCGCTTGTCTATACACAATGGCTTGATTTTCACTTTGAAATTTGCCGATAGTGAAAGACTGGGGAGATTAGTCACACTTCAGTGCACTTACCTGAGCGATTGGCAGGGAGTCTGTTTATTTCATGAAGTACATGACAGGATAACACGGACTTTTTTTTTCATAACTTATTTTCTTCTTAAGTTAATCCTGAATTGTACGTTCGTAATAAATACGTTTTAACAAATGTGTTGAAACTAAATTTAGTGTCAATATTAACCCAAGCTTTCTTACGCTTGGTGTCTGGATCAATGTTCATAGTTAATTACATTTACAAAACTACCCGATTAATTAAGAAATAATTAAGTGAAATTAACTCTTTCACCAGTCTGTCCAAGCGGCTTTGAATGCATATGCTCATCAGTGTATCAATTAATTTTACTTATACGGCGACATTAAGTGTAAATAGGTAATTTTTTTATGTCTACTTTGGATGAATAAAAGAAACAATTTGAATGCATGCTTTGTTGCTGTGTTCATTTATTTAATATGTGACCAAAAAAAAAAAAAAGAAACGAGACGAAACATTGGTAATTTGAATTGACCATAAATTGAAAATGAAAGTAGATCAAAATAAACAAGATGGATGCCAAGGGATCTAGAAGATTGAGTTTGAAGAGTATTAAGCTTTATTTAAGTGAATTTATTTATACTAAAAAGTTGAAACAGTGAGTAAATATTGTGAAATAATATGTCAGTTAACTTGTATTTCAAATAAACCTAAAAAAATCGAAAATATATGTAACGTAAGATGTACAATACATCCAATAATTTACACAAACGTTGTATCATCAGCCGTCCGACATGAATTTCAGCCGACTATGGTTATTATAAAAGTCGCTTATTATAAAGTTTTGGCCTGACAAATAAACTATGATAATAAACGAATTGTACTGTACTTATATATTTTAAATGTTTGAAAGACAATTAAAGACATAGATTTGATCTAATAGAAAATATAAACTTTGTGTTTATCAGGGTGAAGACCCTTCAGTGGGAAATCCTAACTTTTGGGACGAGTTTTTCTTGCTCAGGGTAAGGTTATCAATTACATGATTATGATTTGTAACCTTAAAAAACTGCTCAGTTATATGATTTGTAGTCTTAAAAAACTTCTCAGTCTATTAAATATATATATATATATATATATATATATATATATATATATATATATATATATATATATATATATATATATATACACACAAATTAGTTCAAATTCATTCTAGTATTTGTACATTAATAAGAATTATTTCAAATTGAAATTGATATATTCATACAGATAACTTCCTGTTCAGTTTGTTTTTGCATTATCTTTAAGAACACTCATGACTATATAATTTTAAAAAAAAATTGAATTCATTTTTTGCAATGCTTTTGTAGACATGTTTTGAACTTATGCTTCTATTCTCAATTCATAGCCAAATATTCCATTCATCGAGGGGGAATTTGATAAAGTCAGTGGCGAGGGCCTTATGATGTTGAAGGTATGGAACCTCTGAAATACATTCTATGTTGTAAAAGTTCTAAAAGGTCAATTTCACCTGTGAGAAGTATTCTAATTAAATGTTATAATTGTGTTATTTACTTTTAGGACAATTTAAACACCCTGTTTTACAAAGCAGTAGAATCTTTGAAGGAAGATAATGTCATCAGAGTTGTCAATGCCATTTATGTAAGTACAATCATCAATTTAAAGGACTATATTCTGTTATGACCAACATTTGCCATCAGAGTTGTCAATGCCATTTATGTAAGTACAATCATCAATTTAAAGGACTATATTCTGTTATGACCAATATTTGCCCCAAAAGTCAAACTTTGGTGGAGAAATCTACAATCATGTTCTAAAGCGGGAATGTCCACAGACTTGAAAGCAGTACCCATTTACATCAGCCATTATATCATTTGCTAGATATGACATCAAGAAGATGACATAAATTCAAATTTCAGTGGTTTTGAGGGAAAAAAGTATATTTTACATTGATATTTTGATTAAAAGTCAAATACAGGTCTGCCCCAGCTCAATTTTTTGATATAATGTGTAGAATTATGATATCAATGAAATATGTGTATATTGTTCTGGGGCATGCTTGGGCTTGGTAAATTCTATACTCAAAATTGAACAAATTTTGTCCATTTTGTCCTCTTTCTTGAAAATAACAGAAAATCCAAATAGTTTGTGACATCACAGAAAAATAAACTATTCAAAAACTACAAGTATGATTATTTTTGTCAATTATGATTTTTGATACAATATATACAATTGTGTATATTTTTAGAGATTTTCAAAATTTGGCTTTTATGGGGGCAAAAATATGCTTTTACTGTATATAGTTCTTTGGTTTTGTTTACAAAATTTTGACTATTTCAAAGCATTCTTTTTTTTTTTTTGAATTTCAGACAATGTCAGCATTAGTTCGTGGAATATACAGGAAGAATTTCGGAGGTTTTGGCTTTGATGTTATAAATATCTTGATTGGCTTTGATGCCGCAGAAACAGTCATGCAGGTTATTTACACTTTTTAGCTTCATTTTTATTAAAGAAACTGTAAAAAAAAAAATCCATTTTTTTATATACTTGGGTGAATTTAGGGTATGTAATAATCTATTAAGACAATCTTTTTGATATTAGAAATGTTAGTTTTTACTTTGTTATTAACAGGAAATGGTCGAAAATTTGAATCACATTCTGAATGGAGAGTACCCAACTGCAATAAAACAGCAAGTTCTCAAATTCATCATGGTTTTAGCCACAGTAAGACCTCAGTTTATGTAATTTAACCATGTCAAGACATCATAAAGATGTATACATTATTTATGAAATAGATACCCCTTCTTTGACCATTTGTATGGACGTAGTGATACATAGGGATACACGTTTGTCATAGCAATAGAAATGAATACTAGGAATTTGGGAATATTCGGAATGTATGGCTCTGTTCATATTTTTTATTAACATTTTGCAAAATTCTCTGGTTTTGATGATGTAAATGGTACATATCAGAAAGTAAACATGCAGGTGTTTGTTCCTTTAATTGTATTTTCTGAGTGTCCATGCAATATTTGCTGATATTAAATTCCATTACTTTATTTTGCAGGCTTGTGACAACATCAGTCAGAATACCCTCCTGGAGTACCTTATGATCAACAGTGTGTTTGAATCTATCATCCAGGTACAGAATGACCAAGGATTTTATTTACAATATATAATCCATGTATAGAATGACCAGGGATTTTATTTTTTATCATCCAGGCATAGAACATCCAAGGGTTCATTTGTATATTTGTTTTTGAGACTATGTCTGGCAAAGATTACATTTTTTTAAAGACTAGTAATAACCAAAGTAATACATGTATGTAGACATTGTTTAGAAAAATATGAATCTGATTTCAACTGTGTATCTGTTGTTATACATATGACTGGGTGATGTGAGTTAGTTTGTGTAGATTCTAGGTAATGTTGACCTGAGACTGGTACTAGGGGCTGATGCTGTCCAGGTTCTCACTCTCTTAGTGCAGTACAGAAAATACGAGGTAAATATTAATCTTATACTCTGAACTGCTACTTAAAACTGGAATATATTGTGTGCAAAGGATTGAATGTGTGTTACAATATAAGCAGATATATTTTTTAACCCTTTTAAATTTCATTACTTTCAGTCTGCGAATCCATATATTGTGAAATTGTCTATATTGGATGATGAGTTGGCTTTAACAGTGAGTTCAAATTACAGTGTTAAAAAAATACTTTTTATGCAACTAAATGTGCTAACCTGAGTTTTACTTATTAATTGTTCCTAAGAAGGAAAATTGGAGGGGGGGGGGGGGGGGGTATAAAAGCTTTTTTTATCTTTTCATTAATCTTCAAAAATCAGGCCAGATGTAATTTGAAAACCAAAAATAGGTGGGAAAAAGTTAAGCTGGAGATTAAAAAATTTTATGCAGTTTTCTTTTATACCTATGAAATGATTTTTTTTTATCTCATCACTTTTAAATTTTGTAGGGATATGCCCAGGTTGTTCTAGGGGCTTTGTCAGACTTTAACAGGTAACGAACACTCATAGTACTTATTTTCTAACCAACAGTTTATTTTGTATCATACAAATTCATGTTTCTCTTGATTAATGCATGTGATATGTATGCAAAGGTATAATCTTAATTACCATACATGGCAAATATCATACCAAGTTCCGGCCTTTATAATCTCCTACTGATACCATACCTACAAGACTTGATACTATTTTTCAGGGAGTATCAGTGCCGCAGCACTGAGGCACAGGCGGGATGGTTCTCTGCTTTTGCCAGTATGGTAAGTTGTCTTAGTTTGTAGTTTAATCTCTAGTCTATAAGCAATGAATCCAAGATACCTTGCTCTACTTTGAGTCAGAGGGTCTACATGCCTTTGCGTAACAAGTCGGAGGCATGTGTCACGCATTGAGTGCATGTCTTCTCCAGTCATCATACAGTAGAACCAGAAGGTATCATTAAATCATTTAGTGGTTCCGTCTTTGTTATAAAGGTTTTATTTTGTGTGTTTTAATAATCTTGGAAAATTTAAATATAAATGCCATAAGATAGTATTTTTATCATAAATATTATATTTTGACACAAGTTCATGCTAACATTATACTGATACATTGACCATTAAAATTATTGTATCAATTACTGAAATTATTTAGAATCAAGAAGAAAAAATTTTGAGTTTAGAACGGATTTTTTTTACTTCATGAATCAAGTATTTCATCAAATAATCTTTGGACACAATTTTTTTTATCTCAATTTGGCAGCTCAACGTAATCTTACCATTAGTACTTCTTGTTTGGAAAATCTGAGTTTCTATACAGATATCAAAATCTGTTTCTGATGAAAAATTTAGAAGATTGTTATACTTTAAAGTGATTTATGTAATATGAAGGGAAATAACTCTAAAATATATATTTCTTGAACATTTTAGGTTGGCAATATGTTTGTACCTGACGAGAAACATGTATCAGCAGTGAGGTAAATTAATAAGCAAGCATCATTTTTTTCATTAGCTATGATTTATACTTTGATTAACACACCTGAAGTTACAGCTGTTGTTTGAATTCATGTATGGGGCATTTTCTGTGAGTTCAGATCAAGTGTTAAATTTTGACATATGTCTGTTGACAGGTATATCATTGAAACCCCAAACTCTATATGATTTAGTAATCAGCATAATTAATTCTAAAAAGAAATGGATTATATCTTTATTGCAATATCAAATAAATTTATTTATTTATTCTTTGCAGAGCAAATGATTTGGTGCTATTGGCTTTATACGAGGCCATCCATTTAAACAGAAATTTTATCACCGCCTTAACACATGTAAGTTTGGAAAATTATTATACAATTTATACTCATTAAAAAGATCAAAAGTACTTTAATAATTAATGTAATTAATAAAGCAAATGTAAGGTGACCCAGAATTTGCAACTATCGTCATGATTTGTTGTGAGGGAGAAATGAAGTCAGCAAAAATTTTGGTACTACATGTCGGTCCCTTGTTGCAAATTAAATATTTTGAATCATTTCATAAAGTAAAGATGTTTTTCACAATTTTTACTGTTAAAATTCATTGTACAATGTATTTGTACAGTCAAACCTGGTTATCTTGAACTTAATGGAACCAAGAAAAAACTTTGATATATACGAGGGTTGTCCCAGAAAAACGCGAACTTTTTCAATATTTTTCGTTTCACTAATATTTTAAAGATAAAAATGGCATACACCATAACCAACATTTTTTACATAATTCACAGAAATTTCAATAAAATATCTCTATAAAAAACATTTTCATTTCTGATAAGCAAATCATTCAAATAGCTCCTGGTGCAACATCGACGACGTCAAAACGTAGCTCATGGAGTTTTTGAATTTGTTAGAAATCGTGCGTCTTTAAAATTTCGTTCGAAGCAAATATTCGATACTGCATTGGATTTTTTTTAGTCACAGAGTTCTCCATTTCACACGCATACTACAGTTAAGAATAAATCAAGGAATTAATTCTTTTAATAGACAATTTCTGAACCCCGATCATAGACTTATAATTGTTAACAGCGGTCTCCACGAATGACGTCCAGCTCTAGACTTTCCAGTTTGTCGTCATTTTTGTTGGTCTACCAAACACTTCTTCCATCGGATAACCAGTCCATCCATCTTTGAACCTCTTTTACTATGTATAAACCAGTGTTCCATATATGTATTTTTGTTGTTCCTTCGTTCCTTTTCCCTATTAACAGGTGTCATACCCTGCTCCACACAGTACTGAGTGATAATTTGGTGTTCCGTGTTATCACCCGACGTCGCCGTTTTTGACAATATCTAACTAATATTGTTTGGAAATATAACGTCATATTTTTGTTATTTATGATGTCAAAGTATTCATTTTTTTACACACGAGTATTCTAGATCGTACAGTTTCTATGAATGCAATTTTTGTCACATTATATTTCCGTATAGCCTGGTAATAAAGAAAACATTGATGGCAATGCTAATTTTGAGTCAAGAAATTGCCTTGAGCAAACCACCGATAATTAACACACTTTAAATGCTGTTTCTAAATGTATATAACATTCCAACCTTATGGTATTTGGTCAAAATGGCGAAAATATCATTTCCCAACATTGTGCCAAAAATGAATAATTTTGGTAAGGTAGTTTATGAAATATTTAAAAAGTTCGCGTTTTTCTGGGACAACCCTCGTATGAGGATTCGAGACATCGAGGTTAAGATACATAAAAAGAAAACTTGGTTGAAACCTCGAATTCACTTTGACATATCTATGTTATTCAAGATATCAACACTTGAGATATCTAAGATCAACTTTTTTTCATTTCAGATACAGATTATTCTTGATAAAGTATTTGGCCTTTTACTGTTTGAAGTGTATTTCAAAATATCTTTAATATTGCAAATAAAACAGAGAAAAACTATTATATATATTTTGCTATATGTAAGATGGATTTAATTTTTGTTTAACCAGACCCATACGCCATCAACACCTACCACTCCCCCCTCTTCCCCGACAGTGCCTATGTCCAATCCTCTCAATGACCCGGCTCCTGGTAAGTTGTTGATGCAAGATTCACTGTGATTCACTATTAAATGTATATGAAATATACACTGTAGTGTATAAAGCAATTATCTGCTTTAGTACTCAAGGGAAAAATATGAAGATTGAAAATATTTCTTTCTTTTCTTCTTTTTTCTAATACCTATGTAGCCCTGCAAAATTTAGACAAAGCCCTTTTGGAGCAGTCAAGTCATCCTACAAATCTGCTGGTGACATTTTTAGAGTACAGTTCTATAGTAATGCAGGATACAAAAGGTAGGCAAGTTTCAGAAAATGGTTGTTAATAAAATTCTCACATCTTACATTTTTATGACGTCGAGCTCTTGGAGCTCGAATGTCATCTAGCGATCGGCCAAGTGAAATCGCCAAGGGATGTACGCGACCAAATGTGTCAGTGGATGCATCCGCAATAGAAAATAGCAATAGCTATAAACCAATTTCTTTTAAAACGCTCACAATGAATAATTATAGCTTGAAAATGAAATTGCATCAATTGTATCTACAATTAATTCTTTTACAAAACAACGATATTATGTTTTATTTTCACACAATAAAAACGTGATGGTTGTTGCGGATGAATTTCTACAGAAAGGTGCGTCGAATGACATGAATAACATTTTGGAACGATAACCGTGGAACACAAACAACCCAACAGGCGGTAAAATAATTTACAAAATTACATAAACACGAATACTATAAGACTGAAAAGATTGAATTTGTTAATCTTAGCTTTACTTTTACAATCTTCTGACCAACTTTATCCTAAAAACCGATGATGTTGACCAGTATTACTGTATTTCTCTATTTCCTCCATTTCCCAGTATACCGTATACCACGCCCGATCGTAACTCGATCGTAATTGTAACAGAACAGTCTTGGTTGTAGTTTAGATGCAATCACTAATACAACGCTTTGACATTGGCAATTAGAAAAAATATTATATAAATTTATGAAATCCTTCATAGTTCTTCAACTGACTGAAAAGAATTTAGCATGAAACACATGTTCGACGGTGTCTGGTCAATTCGAACCCTGCTCCATTCGGACCATGACATAAGGCCCCAGACTGTAATTGTGATATTTTGTTTAAAACTATTTTTTTTTATTACTTCTCCTGAGTCACTCACTTGACTTATTGCTATCTTCAAATTCAAAATGATCTTTTGAAATTGTTTTTCTTCTTCGACGTCATTGAAGCCTTTCAGGCTTTTGATTAACTATTCTAGTTTTATATCATGGCTATTTGTAAATCAGTTGAATATATGAATAAGAGGGGAAAATGTCTTGAATACATGAATTAAAGAAAAATACAAATTGCCATACAAATTAATTGAAACTCTTTTTTTCAGATGAAACAAGGCATAGTAATGCCAAACTTTGTCTAGTCATATTAACATGCATTGCAGAGGTGAGGGAGACAAAGTGAAATTCCTGTAATTTTCTGTAAAGTTATTGTTCCAGTAATTATTCCAGTGACGTGTACTCTAATCATTTAAATTTTTTCTTAAATTTTAGGATCAGTATGCCAACTCCCTTATGCATGATGTCAACATAAACTTCCGAGTCAAACTACACAGAATGGTTTGTATTTTGTTTTGAAATATTTAATGATAAATCTGTGGGATTAATACGCTCTCAGTAGTCACCTGGGAATGCCTAGGAAAGAAATATTGTATTGTAGATCAAGAGTGAGAAGATAAAAAAAACAAGATGTGTTTGTGAAACACTGATGCCCCCGTATGGCAGCTTATGTCGAAGGTTAAAGTTTCTCAAATGCAAGTCAAAATCCAGGCCAAAAGATAAAAAATGTTGATACCCAAAGAAAGATCTTGTCTCGAGGAAAACACCTGTGAAATTTGAAAGACCTAGATACAACTGTTCAAAAATTATGGCGAAGGTTAAAGTTTTTTGAATAAAAGTCAAACGTCAAGGTCAAGGTCAAAGTGGTTGGTATCCAAAGGAAGATCTTGTCACAAGGATTACATATGTGAAGTATGAAAGCCCTAGCACCAACCATTCAAAAGTTATGGCCAAGGTTAAAGTTTTTTCAAAAGTAGGTCAAACTCCTAGGTCAAGGTCAAAGGGTCAAAGTGGTTGGTATCCAAAGGAAGGTCTTGTCACAAGGATTACATATGTGAAGTATGAAAGCCCTAGCACCAACCATTCAAAAGTTATGGCCAAGGTTAAAGTTTTTCAAAAGTAGGTCAAACTCCTATGTCAAGGTCAAAAGGTCAAAGTCGTTGGTATTCAAAGGAAGGTCTTGTCACAAGGATTACATATGTGAAGTATGAAAGCCCTAGCTCCAACCATTCAAAAGTTATGGCCAAGGTTAAAGTTTTTCAAAAGTAGGTCAAACTCCTAGGTCAAGGTCAAAAGGGTCAAAGTGGTTGATATCCAGAGGAAGGTCTTGTCACAAAGAATACACATGTGAAGTTTGAAACCCTAAGCACCAACTGTTCAAAAGTTATGGCCAAGGTTAAAGTTTTTCAAAAGTAGGTCAAAGTCCAAGGTCAAAAGGTCAAAGTTGTTGGTATCAAAAAGAAGGCCTTGTCACAAAGAATACACATGTGAAGTTTGAAACCCCAAGCTCCAACTGTTCAGAAGTTATGGCCAAGGTTAAAGTCTCATAAAATTTTGCAAAAGTGGGTCAAACTCCAAGGTCAAGGTCAAAAGGTCAAATATGATGGTACCCAAAGAAAGGTCTTGTCACAAGGAATACACATGTGAAATATGAAAGTCATAGCTCCAACCAATCAAAAGTTATGGGCAAGGTTAAAGTTGACAACAGACAGACAGACAAACAGACAAACAAACAGACAAACAGATAAACAGACAAACAGACAGACAGGACAAAAACAATATACCCCCGGGATCTTTCGATCCGGGGGCATAAAAATGAATTATTATGCCCCTATTCAAAGAAGGGAGGGCATATTGCTTTGCTGCTGTTTGTCGGTCTGTTGGTTCACCAACAGTTTCCATTCATTTTATTTGCAGAGATTGCACATACTGAAATGAAATTTGGTATACAGATTTATCATAAGAATATCTAGGTCAGGTTCTGTTTTGGATACGATCAAGCAATTTTTGACAGAGTTATGCACTTTGGACCTAGAAAAATTCCAATTATTTTCAGTTTCCGTTCATTTTCTTTAACCCTTTCTAATTGTCTCTGCAGACCAATAAACTCGCTTGTTGTGAATTTGTTGTTGGTTGGCATAAAATTCACAAGCAAGTTTATTTGTAGAAAGGGTAAGGGGATGGATAAAATATACAGATTGGTTATAGAATATGTCTAGAATTAGGGAGTGAAAGGTAGTTGATTGACCAATGATGGAAAGGGGCGAAATACATCCCCGAAGTTCACAGAAAATCTTGTGCCGTAAATTGCACCATATTTGCATTACAGGATCTGTAGCATTATGGTCAAAGACTAAAATATAAAACCATAACCCTACAGTTCTGCAGCTAATAATATATGATATTTTTTGCAACCAATGAGACATCAAAAGTGAATGTTTGGATTAAGAGTTGATAGTATATGCAGCCAATAAACCATTGGGAAGTGACTGTTGTGATTGAAAATTTATAATGTTTGTTCTTTATTTGCAGCCAATGAGACATCGGAAAGTGAAAGTAGAAAAAGATACCCCTTCTCGCCCCCTTGTTTGTGCTCTTTTAGGTAATAACAATTAAAACTAATGCTAAGGTTCTTGTACAATTGTAAAGTATTGTCAAATCACATATTTAAAACACTATTTGGTATCAGTGATAACATCCTTTAAAGGGAATATTGACAACTACCCTCACTCATCTCGAAAATCTTAAGCAGATTTAAATTCTAATGAATCAATTTCGACCTCTTTATCAAAATTTTCCCGAACTTTTTCATAGACCTCTGGCTTTTCCCTCAATTCTTTAACACTCGGAACTCAAGAGTTACACACTAGGTGTCATTTTTGCATCACTTCCATAATTTCTACTTTGACATTTTCAAATCTTTTAACGTTTTTCACATTTGACGATGAATACTCGGATTATTGTGGAATGCCTGGGCAATTAAATAGCACGATTAAAGACAAAAATGTCTACCGAAACAAGATATAATGACATATTTTGGTGACATGTAGTAGGTATATGATATTTTAGGCCCAATATCCAAGAGGGGTCCAGTGTTAACAAATGGAAGTGACTTACCTTCTCTATTTTATAATTCCGCGGGTATGATTTTTTTAGTAAAATGTTAATTCTGCGTTATTTTTTGGATTTTGCATATGGAATACATTGTAAATGTGTACTAGAAGAAAGGTTTATGAAAAAAAGATATAAAAATATTTTTTGACCCAGGGGTATATTCGGGGGGGGGGGGGGGGGGGGGGGGGGTTCCTGTCCACAAGTACCTGTGGATGTTTTAAGATAAAGATCAACTCTACATTTTAGAAATGATTCTGATTATTTCAGATTTAATGGTTGAATTTATAATGAGCCATATGATGAAATCCTTCCCTTTGGAGTTGTATAAGTAAGTGTTCCATTGGAGAATTTTCTGATATTTGCATGAAGTCATCTATAGCTCACCAAAAGTTTTCTTGTTTTGTACCCTGTGTAAATTTTTATTTGTTGAAGTCGATGTTTGGGAATCACACAGCGGGTCCTGTGTTACCAGAAGAAGTGTCGAGTTCGGCTCCAGTATCCATGGAAAGAACTTTGGACCGGTAAGTCTCCAAGAGCTCCATTATTTCTCATTTATGTACTGCATTGCATACTTTTAAGTTTATTTAAGTATATAATAGGAATCTGTAGAGGTTGTAAGGTGATAAAGTAATTTAAATGTTTAATCCCTTCCCCTGCCCCCTTTACATATGATTACAGATGATCACAAGAATTTGACTGTTTTCAGCATGCAGACTTCATATTTACTCTACAGTTAAAAGAGACAGTATAAGATATTTGGAGATCATTTGCTTCAAAGCTCATGGTCAAAATGTAATGTTCATTGATACATTGTATAAGCACTTTGAAAGGGCCCTGTATGACTTTTGTCAGTGTTGTTATTATACTCCCTGCTTGAAAAGCGGGAGGTATATAATGGTGGGGGTGTCCATCCATCTGTACATCTTTCCGTACATCTGTAACATTTGGGGATACCCATCTCTTATCCTCAACTCCTATACCACTGGATAAAATTTAATGGGACTTTCACAGAATCTTTATTACATAGTGCCATTTTTTATGTTCTGATCTGACAGATATTTGAGGTTTCCTGTAGCAAAATATGGACTGTGCCATTATACTCATAAGAGGATGGGGGGGACTCATTTTTTGAGCTCAGTGTTCACAGTACTTCTAGTTTCAAATGTGTTTTACAATGATGCCATGGTAAAGTTTTATAAGGAAGCTGACTGCCTTTTCCTGTTGCAGCTCTGATCAATCTTCTGAAGTACCTGTTGTCCAATGAGTCCAATCTCCTCAAGAAGCATAATAATATTTTCCATTTGTCCTCAAAGGTATGTGAATTAAAAGTAAATTGTTGGACTTTGATTTGTTATTAGAATTTTTATTTCTTAAGGTTTGCTTTTTTGAAACTGTATATCCATGTGTAATGCTCTTTATGAAAGAAGTTAGTATTTAGGAAGCATTAATTTGATTTGTAAGCATGCACATTTAGATTGTGAATATTTTCAACTTATTCATCACCTATGGTGACACCTTCCTGCCAAATCCTAACAGCTATGATGAACTGTATTACGAGATTATCAGAATGCACCAAGTTTTTGACAACCTCTACTCAATGGGTAAGAAATTTCTATCAAAAGTTTAGTGTTTTATGAAAGTGAATTGCTGATTTTTTTTTTTTACAATATTGTTCCAGTTAACACAGATATTAAAATTTACTTTTTGTATAGCTCTGAGGTACACTACAAGTGATGGAGAGAGCAAAGAGTCAGCGGCCAGATTAACCAATCATCTTGTCAATATCAAGTTAGTTAGGAGGACTAAGCATTCTGTATATGTAATGCTAAATAAATGATATGGCTTTCATTGGAATAATTTTATTTCTTTATGAAACTTTTGATTTTACAGTGTGATAAAGAGTAATAAAGTTACAGATCATGTTTATTCTGAATGTTTCTACATTTCACTTTGACAGGGCCATCATCAATCATTTTTCTCCTAAAGTGGACTCCTGGGCAGCTGCCAATCAGCTCTCCTCCCTTACAGAGGAACAGGTATCTGTATAAAACAAAAATGAAACTCACAGACCACATGATTGAATGACCTTTAACCCTATCTCTTATTCCCAATCTCTTATTTCCTGTAGGTTCTGGATGTAGTGAGAGCAAACTACGACAGTCTGACATTAAAGTTACAGGATAGTTTGGATCAGTATGAGAGATATTCAGAAAAACCAAGGGAAAGTGCTTTCTTCACCACTCTGGTATGTTTCAAAGAATTTTTACTGCCTCAGTATTCAAATAATGAAAATACATCCCACAAGAACCAAAAAAAGTCATATACACTTCACTGTTATATATTTTGGTTTCAATCATTTCAAAGAATTCTTTGTTAACAAAATCATATACATGTGCATATACATATGTAATGTATTGACAATATATAGATATATAGTTTTCAACTGAACTTTACAGGTACGTTCCGTCGTGTCAGATGTGCGGAAAAGTGTCAGTAATCTGGCTCAGTATCATCACCAGGTGTTACAAAGTGTAGCTGAGATGTAAACAGGTTGATTTGTTAGACTTCTATATAATAGAGCTGTGTATTTAAATATCAACCGATTGATACAATTTGAAACCAAGAGTGTACAGATTATTTATTTTATAGAACTTGTGAAAAATCCTACAGGTGTGAGGCAAATTTCTACTTTTTCACAAGTTTTTACCTTTATTTTCAGCTTTAGAATTTTCATCTGAAAAAGTATCTAAACATGTACAATGCACATGTATGTATATTCATTATTTTATAAACTTGTGATAAAAAAGGCAGGTTGGAGGGGCACTGTCAGAAATCCAAGAAAATTGAGTGCTTCTTTTGAAATAGTGAGAGGATTAATATACATACACATGTACATGTATGTACATTTATTCAATAGTATTCACAACTTGTTACCTGTCTTCAGTCATTGATGCATTTGTCAGCTTAATGCCAGCACACTATATATATAGAAAGGAGAGATATACATTATTTTATGAACACCTTTTGTGATTATTAATGACTACACCAAGTACAGAATTGTATTCTGCAATTGCATGAAAAATCCGAATAAGGCAAAATGTGTAAAGTACAGGTTTGGTACTCACATTTAGACAGGTGTTTGGTAAAGGATTTGTTTTGTATATTACATGTACCAAAGGGCTTTCAGCACTGGGTGTTTTCTGTCTATTGTATGATAGCTATGTGTACATTATATGGGTAAAAAACATTTATTTTACTGTATAATTTTTAGCTCACCTCAACGAAGTAGGGGGAGCTTATGTAATACCCTCGGCGTCAGCATCCCAGGTTAAAGTTTTTGGAGCAGATTTCTTTTCAAGTACTTCTATGCCCTATGTCAATCAGATGCTTCTAGTATGTTTCATTGTACTAGTCAAGGTTTCAGATACTGCAATTTCAGTTAAAAATGACCAGGTTAACATTTTTGGAGCAGGTTAAAGTTTTTGGAGCAGATCTCATTTCCAAGTAACTATAAGACTCATATTGACCAAACTTGCATGAATGATACATCTAAGGATGTACACTACTGGACTTGCTTCAGATGCTGGATCTGACTATATTTTCCAGTTGAGTGACAGGTTAAAGTTTTTGAAGCAGGTCCATTGCCAAGAAACTATAAGGCCTATCTGAACCAAACATGCATGGATGATGCATCAAGGGATGATCACTTTCAAACTTGCTTCGGATGCTGGATTTGACACATTTTCTGGATGAGTGAGTAGTTTAAAGTTTTTAGATAAGTCCATTCCCAAGTAATTGCAAGCCCTATCAGATCAAAATTGCATAAATGTTACATCTAGGGATGCACACTAGTAGATAATTAGTTTATTATGGGACTTTGCCTTACTTAACATTCATTGAGGTGAGCTCTGTAATCTCAGATTACCTATGTTTTAAGGGTATGGTAGCAACTTGTTTTTTGTTGGTTTTTTTTTTTTTTTTTAATAAAAACTCTAAACTTTAAGTTGTTACAGATCTTCAGAAGGTAGTGGCATGCTTCTCTCTTAATCTTTGTACATACAGATGAAATCTATGTTTCCAATGCTTTTTTCTGTGGGGTCCATGAACTATATTTTAAAATGTGTACAACTTACTTTAATGCATGTAGGATCGCATTGCTATGTATGCCATTGTGGTGTAGACAATAAGAAGAAGAAGTTGCATGTATTTGACAACATGTACATTTATTTATGTTGTAAAATAAACTTATGCAATAAACTGATAATGTTAAACTCAGTGCAGTGCACAATTTATGTTATTTCAAAAAGGATCAATTGAATGGCAATGGATGCAGATATGTTTCTCAGAAAAAGAGAAATAGGATGATCAGAGATCATTAAAATAATTAATCTGGTAATAAGCAACAACTCAGAATGTAGATCTACATGTATTTACTTGCCTGTGTGTGCCAGTGCTAACCACACACTATCATTATCACCAAACTTAACAATATTATAGTGTAACTTAAAGTGCTGTATTCACATAACATAGAGTAGCATAGTCCCCATACCAGCAGCATCTCTTGGTCTGTTACATTAATTTACAAATTTAACTCTACCCACAATTTATATGTATTTAAAAGTTGTAAACCAAACAGCAATTTCTTTTATTTGAGAAGTGGTGTAAAACAGATGTGGACACTCAAAAATTCCACTTTTAGAAAAGGAGATGGATGAACAAGGCATAGCTTCAGATATGTAAAAATAATATTCAATTTGTGAATTAAGTGTTTAGGGTAAAGTTCTTCTTATTGAAATTTATGAAAGTATGAAAACCAACACTTTTCTGAGAAAAAGAATTCTGTTATTAAAAAATGATGTGATACTTGCAGGGTTTGAACCCTAGCAATAAAAATCCTGAGTATTATTTTCCTTTGAGACCAACACGCTTAACACTACGCTACAGAACTCTTGATGGATAGTGGCATTTAAGGTCAGACAACACGTTCCTCAAAAATAGATAATTTTTCCCAAGAATTTGATATTGAAGTTCTCTTTCCTTAAGAAACTTCCTCACAAAAAATTAGGGTACATTACCAGGCATTTGTGCAAGATTGAAGAGGATGGTATTTCCTATATAATTTTACATAAAATTAATTGAACTGCTTGTATCACCATTTTTGGTTCCTATATTTTTCCAAATATTTTAAAAACGGTTTAGAAATCGGAAGATAATAATAAACAAAAAGGTTTTTGTATATTAGAGAGATACAAAATCAGATATTTGAGGAATGTGTTGTTAGATCTTAAATCATGTTTGTGATATGACCCTTGACCAAATGGACTTCAAGTATTTCTCAGAAATATGCAAATGTTGTGTCAAAAAGTGTATTTTTAAGGTATAGTTGGTCTTTGCTCCATGTTTTGTTAACCAAAATATGTACATTTTTACAAAAACTCTCAGGACAACTTTCAAAAAAATGGAGCAAAGACCCACTCATATCGAAAAATTGTGTTAAAGTATGAGAAAATGATCTTTTTTGCCCTCTTTAGTGTGTGTATGCCATTTCATAGGGAAATAATTTCAATCTTTGTGAGGTTTTTGCAAATTGTGCATATTTTTCGTAAAGTTTACTTTAATGTTAGATGAAATGTCAAAGAAAATTTTGTCATAATTGAGATTTAATTTTTCACCTTTATGTTTGTCATGCTATAGGCATTTCACTCACCTTGTTGTTCGCCCATCTTCTTTGAAATCACAAAATTTTACCAAAATTATTATCACCAAAAAAAAAGACTTTTCAACAATTTATACAACCATTCCCCACAATAAATTAAAGTCCAGGCTTTTTGCCATCATTGACAGCTGCTTTTTCAATAACAAGAGGCCCAAGGACTTTGAATCGCTCTTCTGATGAACTGTACAACCTATCACTTCTATTTGAAGCCTCTAAGTATCCTGTATATTTAGAAAAACCCTTGAAATTCCAAAGGTAGGTCATCATGACCTACATTTTAGATGAAACACTCTGAGAATCCAAGATGATTCTAAGCCAATTAGTACCTGAGAGTTGGTCATGGTGACCTACTAATCACTTGTCATTCTCTGAGGACCCAAGATGCATCAACTAAGTTTGATGATTCTAAGCCAATTAATACCTAAAATATTTTTAAAATTATAACCGAAAAATTTCAAAAGTAGGTCACAGTGACTTACTTTTCAGATGACATACTTTGAGGACCAAAGATGCATCAACTGACAAAATAAGATGTTTCTAAGCCAAGAGGTACCTGATATATTTAAATAAAGCCATAAAATTTCAAAAATAGGTCACAGTGACCTCCTTTTCAGTCGACTAACTTTGCGGACCCAAGATGCATATACTGACAAAGTTTGAAGATTCTAAGCCAATTAGTACCTGAAATATTTAATTAAAGCCATAAATTTTCAAAAGTAGGTCATGGTGACCTACTTTTCAGTTGACCTACTGGGAGGACCCAAGATAGATCAACTGAAAAATTTTGATGATTCTAAGCCAAATAGTACCCGAAAAATATTAAATACAGCCTTAAAATTTTAAAAGGAGTTCAGGGTGACCTACTCCAAGGACCCAAGATGCATCAACTGACAAATTTTAATGATTCTAAGCCAAATAGTACCTGAAAAATATTAAATACAGCCATAAAATTTCAAAAGTAGGTCAGGGTGACCTACTTTTCAGTTGTCATACTCCAAGGACCCAAGATGCATCAACTGACAAAGTTTGATGATTCTAAGCCAATTAGTACCTGAAATATTTATTTATAGTCATATAAATTGAAAAGTAGGTCACGGGTGACCTTCTTTTCAGTTGACCTTTTTTGAGGACCCAAGATGCATCAACTTACAAAGTTTTATGATCATAGGCCTTAAAATGTCCAAATTATGCCTCTAAAATGCTTTGAAATCGAATGCCTGCAGAGTTCATAAAGTAGGTCACTGTGACCTATGTTTTATGGCCCCAAGATGCATCATCTTACAAGATTTAATGATTCTAAACCTCCCAGTATTTGAATTAATGACCTTAATTGTTTTGAAAAAGATTAACCATAAATTCAAAAAGTAGGTCAAGTTGACCTACTTTTTAGTCAACATAGTCCGAGGACCCAAGATACATCAACTGACAAAGTTTGATGATCATAGGCCTAAAATTGTTCAAAATATGCCTCTAAATCATTTTGAAAAAGAATGGCTGCAAAATTTAAAAAGTAGGTCACCATGACCTACTTTTGAGTCAACATGATATGAGGTCCTTAGATGTATCAATTGACAAGATTTGATGATCCTAGTCCATAAAGTAAGCAAAATATCAACATTTTAATAAAATGTAATTTTTGGTCAACTTTGGAGTGACCTTGAGACCACGCCCTTTGCCCCAGGGTAAATCCCCGTGCAAATTTTAATCTACAACATATCCTCATCCTTTTGTGTAAGTTTGGTGATAATCTGCACAGTGGTTCTTGAGAAGATTTTTTAGCAACCAGTACTTTTGTTTCTTTTTTCCTAATTATCTCCCCTTGTTTAAGGGTCACAACCCTAGTTTTACATGTAGTATAAACAGGAGCCCTTGAGCCAAGGATACCCCATGACAAATTTGACAATAATTGGCCAAGGGGTTCTCCAGTTATGGCCCATATTCTAAAAAGTTTATGCACACGGCACAAACGGCCATAGCATTAGCTCTTTGAGCCTTTGGCTCAGAAGAGTTAAAAATGGAACTCATAAATTTACTTACCCTGTGATTGGTCATTTGCAGAATTTAATATTTTGTTAAAAACACTATGATTGTACAAACAAGTACTCTGAAGTTGATATTAAAAAGATGCTTGAGTTTCTGATTGAAAATATCTATGTAGTTTTTGGAGATCAGGTTTTCAAACAATCTATCGGAATTCCCATAGGTACCAATTGCGCCCCATTATTTGCAGACCTATTTTTGTATTCATATGAAGCAGATTTTATTCAAAATCTGATACATGAGAAGAACAAAACACTTGCTGTAGCTTTCAACTCGACATTTAGATATATTCACAACTTATTATCAATTAATAATAATTACTTCCATTCACATGTTGACTGATATATCCCAGTGAGCTTGAAATAAAAGATACCACAGAGTCTGACACATCTGTGTCATATTTGGATATTTTACTAGAAAAAGACATTAATGGTAACCTAACAATAATTGAAGCTTTATGATAAACGTGATGACTTCAACCTCCCTTACTTATGTAGCAATGTACCCTTAACACCTGCATATGGGGTTTATGTCTTTCAGTTGATCATGCTCTGTGTACGATCAATTTCTAAAACAAGGAAAGCTATTGACAAACAAGTTGATGAAACAAAAATATCAACAGTCTTCTTTAAAGTCGTCATTTTGCAAGTTTTATGGTCGATACAATGACCTTGTAAGCAAATATAATTTATCATTAAGTCAAATGCTGACTGATGTTTTTCATACTAATTGTTAGGCCATTATTTACAAACTGAATTGTCTACAGATTTTTCCATTTTCTTCCCCCGATCATGACACGGAGTACACGGCAGGTGTGAACGGTCAGCAGAGATGCCCACTCCTCCATGGCACCTGATCCACCTCTGATGTTTAAGAGGTCCGTGTTTGCTCTGCTTCTGATTTGTATTGTTTGAATGGACTTATGAGCTTGAATACTGTTCATTATCTCCATATTTCAGTCTGTGGAAAGGAAATCAAAATTACATAAATGATTTTAATGTGCATTGTATGATTTTCATCAATGATCCCAAAAAATGTCATTTCTACCTATTCTTTGACATTTTCTTTATTATAATATACATGTATTATGTTTTCATACATAAGACACATATCTTTGTTGATTGTTGATTGACAATCCCCATTCATATAAAATAAATAAAAAGAAATATCCTGGGGAAGTCGATATATTTGTCTGTATTTTTCAAGAATGTAGCAGGCTGTACAGTACATTAGAAGTTAGTCTTTCCAATTTTGCGTCCCCAGAGTTGAGTTGTCACAAATTGCACTAGTTCTCTCTCCCTGATAGCTATAGTAATCATTACACCCAATAAACAGAGTCCTCCAAGGACAATATGAAGGAGTCGGTACAGGTTGCCGTAGCCACAACAAAAGTAGCTCTGAAAGAAAGAAAAGTAATGTCTTACAGAACATTCACGGACAAAATTATAGATCTAGCAACAATGTTATTATGATTGTTGCTATAACAAAATTTCTGCATCAGCATCAATCCATACTAAAT